GAAAACAAAATGGGCATTGAGATATTCAACTTCCATCTATCGTTCGGTACTCATTCTTCAGGTACGTCATTCTTGAAAACATTGCTTCGCACGTGTAAGTGTTTCCGAAAAGAACGAGAATATTTCTCGCCAATTCTTGTAGCACTGGATATTCAACTGCGCCTTTCCATGTGTCCAGCAGATTTCCCTCGACTTTAAACCTTCTGCACAAGCTATTCATCATTTTTTTTGCATCAGCATAGCCGCCAAATCCAATATTTTGAATTTTTTTTTTGTTTATAGGATTTTGTGGACGGCCGCATTATTTTGTCACGACGGCCGCAGGTTGTGTGCCCCGTTGGTCTAAGACCTAAGTGAAGAAAGTGTTTGGATGGTTCCTAAAATGTTAATTGTTACGGTGGGCAGCTTGTTTATTTACTAATATATATGCTCAGGGAAACATCTATTGGTATACCCTAATGACTGTAATAATATTTTTACCCTTGATTTCTATACCGGAGTGTAGAATATTATCCAGAATAAACTCGATATTTCAGAGTACTGTGTTTACTTCATGAACCAAAAAACAAGATACATTGTATACACTAGCGGCAGGCCAGAGCAAGATAATAACTACATGAAAGGTCATGAACTCAGGCACTGAATTAAATCAACATAAAATAAGCAATATAACTACAACCCCCTTTTTTCCCAAATCAAGCCATAGCTTGGAATACACTTAAATGTTCAAGAAATAACACCCAAAGAAATTATTAAATGTTCAAGAAATAACACCCAAAGAAATTATTAAACATTCAATTAATGCTGGTATCTTTGAGGAACTTTGACTGTTCTTCCTGATCGTGTTATAGTCGGTTCTTGCTTGATCGGGGTCTTAGCTGGAATTTTCAAACTTCCCTCAGACTGATTGCTGCTGAGTGGCTGATCAGCAATCTCTGCTTTGTTGGTCGAGTTTGAATGTTCTTTAGTATTTGGTGGTTTAGTTGGGTTCCATTTGAATACATTCTTCTCTCTTTCCATCAAAGGTGTTGCTGGTACTTTGTTCTCAACATTGGTTGTGGTGGAAGATTCCACATATGGTAAGGCTGGCAAGCTTTCACGCAAATGAATTCTGTTGCGTTTCAGCTGATGTCCATTGCTCATTTCGATGTTATATGAACGATCATTCCTCTTTGAGATCACTTTCGCAGGAATCCACATATCTTTTGCTTTATCAAACATTCTCACATCTTGTCCATTGTGAAAAGGCGGTACACTTTTTGTGTGTAGATCAGCATGTTGCTTTTGTACATCTGTATTATGTTTCACTCTGTCTTTGTAGAATTGTGGAACAGTATTGTCTGAATGACAAGGCAATAATGTAGAAATTCCTCTTCCGAACAGAAGTTCTGCTGGACTTGGTAATTCATTGTCAATCGGTGTTGCACGGACATTTAGAAGTGCTGCATCTATATCTCCACCGGATTTGATGCACTTTTTGATAATGGGTTTAATATATCGAATTTGCCGTTCGATAAAACCATTGCTCTGTGGGTGTCTAGCTGTACTGGTTGTATGAGTAATTCCCCAGGCTTCACAAAATTTATCATATTTGCTTAAAAAGCACGGTCCATTGTCTGTGACAATCTCTCTCACAGTTCCAAACAACGACAATATTTCATTGGTTTTAGAAACCACATATTCTGCTGTCATTAAATTTAATTCCTTTACAACAGGGTACCTGCTGTAGTAATCAGATATTATCAAGAAAATTCTACCTTGAATTTCGAACAAGTCTGAACCAAGCTTGACCCATGGATGTGATGATCGTTCATGCATAATCATTGGTTCTTTTGTTTGCTGTGGTCGTAGTTCTTGACAATATTCACATGACTTGCAAATATTTTCAATATCTCTGTATATTCTTGGCCAATATACGCAATCTCGTGCAAGTCTACGAGTTTTTTCGATACCTTGATGACCATGGTGCGTGCAATTGTTGTAGAATTGACAATCGGATAGGTTCTGGAATAAGCACTTGCTTACCCTTAAATA